GCTCACATCAGGGATCTATGCTAAATCTTCGAAAGCGCTTGTTGTCCTGCTAAACAAAAGGTTGTTTGCTCGCTTCGCTGGTTCCCATTGTTCAGGTTCTGCACATCTTCGAGTTCCGGCATAGCTCCTGGTACGGTGCCCACCGGGACGACGTAGTAAATCTGTTGCGTAGGTGGGGCCTTTGCTTGGCCTGGATCCACATCCAAAACTCGGATGGTTGGTGTGGCGATCTTGAAGACGGCTGGCCAAGCCTGGCTCGCACTTGTAACTCTGCATATTTGCGGCTTTTTGGTACCAAACAGAAGGCGATCGGCCGGTATGGAGAGGAGATGATCCGGGAGACTATCCTGCCCATGGTGCAAGGCCCTGGTGCTCCTACTGATTCCTTTGTCGTTTTTGCACAAGCCGATGTGCCGGATCATGCAAAAGCAGATGCGGCCTTCATGGTAGAGCTCCTGGGCCGAACCGACTCACAGCCGGGCAGAAGCGCACGATGGGAGCGTGACGTCCTCGTGGCAACCCTTGGACTCGGTGTTGGCATGCAGGTCACCGGCGTGGTTCAGCGCATCACGCACCGAACGGTCTTTGTGGACATTGGCCGCTCTTGCCGAGCATTTCTTGATGCCAACCATGCACGCCGGGCAGGCTTACTCGAAAGCTTGCGCATCGGCACACATGTAGAGGGCCTCGAAGTCCAGCATCTGGACTTCCAAGGGGAGTGGGGCATCGTCGGCCTCTCATGTCACAAAGCGTTCGTCAGCTTGGGGGCTGCAGAGGAGGAAGCCCGGGCATCGGCCCCAGCCGAAGCGGAGATTGCGGAGATCGAGGATCCCAACCAAACGGCCAAACGGAGCCGATGGTTGCGGCAAGGCACCGGTGAATCTTCGGATGCGTTCTGTAGTGAAGCCGGTGCCAGTCCTGCCGCCGTCGCAGTAGCAGCCCTGGCAGAGGAGGAGCATGCACAGCATGCACCACGTCAGCGCCAACGTTGGGCGCATCGGACTTTCGAAGGACTGGCTGAAATTGGCAAGACCTCCGGAAGTCGCCATGTGGTGCAGACACCCGTGGAGGAGCTTGAAGAGCAGGCTCGCGTGAAACGGATGGCAGCCAGGGCAAAGCGAGACGAGCGCACAAGCCGCTGGGCACGCGCCCTCGTCGAGAAGGCGATTGACCAACAGCAGGTCGCAGAGGCCAAGAAGAAGATCGAGTCTAAGGCTAAGGTGGCTGCTTGGCTAGAGAGTGCTTGGAGGGTTTTCCCGCTTGGAGCCGTGTGACTCCTTTTGCTTAGGGGGGCTCTGAGCTGATTCAACTCGCCCGTCGGACCTGCAGAACCACTGCCCAAATCCTCAATCCTCGTCATTCCACAGACAAGGCAAAAGCGATGACGTTGCTGTGCTGGTTCACATGGCTGATAACCCCAATCAGTGATAAGACCTTCTGCTTTCTGGTGATCCAGCAAAGTCGAGGCCTCTCAGCGAACCTCTGCGAAGCGCAGCCGCAGCGAAGGCCCTGCGCCACGCACGCGGCGAGAGGCGCAAAGTAACGGGTAAAGGGGTAGAGGGTAAAACCCATGATGCTATCAGGAATTGCCACGAAGCAAAACAACAAGATGCACGACTCAGCAGCCCACTGTAGCATATCAGTGCTCAAGTCGTAGTCGCAGGCACCACCCAAACGCTAGCAGTAAACTCCAGAAAATGGAAACATTGTCGTAATGCTGGTGGTGACGGTGGTGGTATGCTGGTGATGGTGGCATATTAGTGTCATCATCATCTCCGCTGTGATCATCACGAACGATTGGTTCTCGCAGTGGCCACAAAAGCGAAAACAAGGAGTGTAGTTGCTGCACTAGGAGGAGAAGGCTCGAAAGCATGCAGACGGGCTTATCCTGAAGAAGACTCGGCTGGCTACCTCGAAGATATGAGCTTAGATTTTCCGGGCGTAAGGGCTCTGTATGCTGGCATTGCGCAGTGCCTCTGCTAGACCAGACGGATCGGCACAGCAATTAGAGGGGCCTGGATGAACGGATGGGGGTCGAGCTCGAAAACGTTTCAAACTCAACTTGCAAAGCCATTTTTTGGACTGCAGCCAGCACTGGCTGCTTTGATTGCTGGGGGCTCCTCAGCTGATGAACCAGTGCGTAGTGCAACGATTCCGAGTCAGCTGAGATGTCTCCGCATGACAGCGAAAGGTGGCACTGGCTGAGTGCAGCCGTGCCGAGACAAAGAAGGCACAGGCCTGCGGGGTTCGATTCAACACAGTTTTGTTTCAGTAAGTGCTTCCACCCGATAGTCGGCTTGAATATTGAGTTGATGATCTCGCTGCCTGGAGACCGCGAGGGTGGAGTCGCATGTCCATTAGCACATACAGCTCTGCAGTACTGGCTGAACAGGACACCCTTAAGCTCCCAGCTTCGTGTCCCCCTTTTCTGCCTTCAGGGTACATCGCCCGTAGATCCAATTGTGCAACACCGAGAATATCGGACTAAAACCGTGAAACTCGACCTCAGAGACAGCATCCAAGCTAAAGTTTAGCTGCAGCGGTGAAGCGACATTCCAGGAAGAAACCATGAGTCGGGCCGAGCGCCGCAAGGGTGCAGGCAAGGAGCCACTCTGCACGCAAAGAGGAGCTTCTGAGTCAGAGAGGCTTCCGAGAAGCTTTGCACATAGAAGGGCGTGCGACAGCTGCGGGGCGACAGTGCCGAGACAGCCTTCGCACTGAGCGAAACGCCAACCGCAACGGTTTCTAGCAGTCTACACACCCAAATAACATCGTAGTTTGAACACGACGTAGGTTTAGCACTCCGAAACGATGCAGAAGTTTCAAAGGTCGGATGAGGTCCCTGGCGACTGGACACCCAATCTCTGGTCATCGGGGCAGGTGTCACTTGGCACTACAGACACGGCGGGCTAACCAGTGTGTAAACTGGAAGCTAAACTGTCACGCGGCCGCCTCTCAAGATGAGTCCTCGATCGACCCGCGAGGGTCTGCAAGCGGCACGTGGGGTAATCGTGGTCGGACGCAATGACAAGCAAAGGCACAAACTATTTTTTGCATGTTGGAGTTCCCAGATGCCCATGGCCTAGAAGCAGCCGTAAAAATGAGGCTGCCTGGCGAACCTGGGAATGGCCCCATGGCGGTCAGCACCGATGAGCATCTTGGCACAGGGCTTTCTTCGTTGAGTTGGTGGTGAACAAGTTGTTTGATCATATATGGCATCGTGACTGCCCCAATGTAGCCCTGGAAGAGCTTGGCCGGAATCGGGCCAGAGTACGGGATGGCGTTGTCAGGCTCTTGGGCGAAATATCTAAATTGGTGTTGACCCCATGTCTTTCATCGCACGCCCTTTGGTCGAACCGCACCTGGCCCCCTTCCACGGCATGCCCGTTTCCATTGTTAAGGTTCTTGCTGATGCAGCTAGAGCAGCGTGAGGCCAGTGTTTTCCAGATGAGATTTGAGCGGAAACGAAACCAGTTTTGCCGAGACAATGTCAGACATGCAGACACGGGTTCAGGATCGGATTTGAACACTTTCTGATAGTGGGTGCCCCTTGTCGCTGAGTCGAGGCTTGCAGATGTTTTTTTGTGATGTATGGCAGGGAGAAGAAACGCAATGCGACGAGAAGAACTTCGAGACGTTTGGTGAAGTTTCGTACCAACAAGGTGTGCAGATGGAGACCAACATGCAGCTTTGATTTCTGTTTGAAGCAGACATCCCCGAGAGCCTTCTCTCGCTTCGTGTGAACTGGAGCAGTGCTGCCAGGTGATTGGAATGCTGAACAGATGTTCATGAGCGAGCGTGTGGTGACAAGAAAGAGGGTCTGGAGGCCAACGCTTCCTCCTGTCGTCAGCTCAAGATCACGTGTGACAGTACACTGACTGTACCGTATCAATAGCACTGGTTGCAGAGATTCCGCTGCGCAGACCCGGGATTTTGCTAGAACCTCGGCTGCCGACACCAGTTACTCTGCAGGGTCTTGGGGTTTGGTTGATATTTCGGCAGCTGCAACCTGCTATTTGGAGTGGCATTCGATCTGTCTGTAATCCGTGTCACGTACCAGGGCTGGCGCGTTGCCCTCACCCCTCGAGCCCGGAGTCGTCAAAGTGGGGCGCCGGGAGCCTACGTGCCACAATTGTCTGGTGGAGACAAGTTGACAAGTCCCCTCGAGTTCCACAGTCGAGTTTCCGTGAGCATGCCGTGCAAGCCGCCGGAGTTCAAGAAAGCTAGCATCGGAAAGACAGCATCGATCCTGTCCAGGAAACAAGATGGGCCACTTAGCTGAATGATAAGGGAGTGTGGAGGCAGGCTCGCAGGTGGTGAAAAGAATGCTATCTCCCTCACCCCGCGGCTGCCTTAGCATGCGAAGACGTGCATGTACTCTCGCACGAGTCCAGCTGGCTGCACCCCAACAGTGGCACGAAGTTTGACATATGATCTGAGGCGCTTTAGCCTCCACATCTCCACTTAGCCACACCCGCGCAAGCCACTTGTCCCAAGTCCCGGCGCAGTCTTGAAGTCTGCGCTTCGAGGCATTGCGAGGGGTTCCCTGTGCAAAGAGGTAGTGGTGAGCTGCAGCATTCGGGGCGCAGATCGGGGCAGGCCTGTTCTTTAGGCTCCAAGCTTGTGGAAACCAAGGCTACCCACAGCCAGTGGTCTCTCGGCTGGGGGTTTGAGCTCAATAAGTTCTGGGCTTGCATGGCACTGCATGCCGCGGGCCGCATCATTAGCTCGACACTACAGGTGATGCCTGGTGTCATCGCACAGCCCGATTATCGCACGTGTAGACGCTCAGGATGACGAGGCCGAAGACGCGGAGAATTCAGAGCAGGCCGGGTCGGCATGGGCCGAAGCTGCTGCTCGCCTGACTCGCCTGGCTATGCTTGGCTTACCCACCGATGCATCGACCGAGACTCGCTCTCTTGTTTTTTGGGACGGCGCCTTGAGAGGCAGTGAGGGGAACACTATTTGCATCGTCCTCTTTGCTCACCTGCCACGGGTTTGAGGCGAGTCAACAGCACCGGTGCTTTCTAGGCTTCGCCTTCACTCAAACCACTAAGCGCTAGCAGTCCCACAACAGCAAACGCCTATAAACGCCTCAAGCCTAAAACACGCTCAGACCGAACCCACCATGCCTGCCCTGTGCGAGTGTGTGAGTCGAAATCAATCTTCGGTCGTTGGACTGGAAGTTGTCTTGAGGGTGAAGTGCCCAACTCAAAACAGCAGCTTTGCTGGGCCCGGGGCCCGAAGTCGAAGGAGAAGATCTGGTTTTAAATTCGTCGCCAGCCGCTCTGAGCCAGAGTCCTGGTTTCTAGAATGGCACCCCGAAGTCAAAACAACATGCGTCTCGCATCAGTGTCTACGAACAAGTAGGAAAATAGGTCCAAACTATCGGAAGTCCGGACCATGCCACGATTTTCTTCTCGTTGCATACCTTTCTGTGGCAACAGAGGCGTGTCGGAAAAGCCATGCCGGAAAAGCTCGATTCCCGTTCAAAACGTAGTCACTCTCTCGGCGTTGCTGTGCCTGCCGTACTGTCTTCATGTGATTCCAAAACTTTTAAAATGCTGCCTTGTCTTGGGTGCTGGTCGCGGTCGAGGTGGCGGTGCAGGTGGTGGTGGCTTCGGTGGTGGCGCTGCTGCTTGCTGTTTGTAGTTGTTTGCTGCCCTTGTTTCCGTTGTTGTCCTCCTTGTCGCCGTTTGTTGTTATAGGTGCTTTGACGACATAACAATGTCTTTGGCTTCCGATGCAGGCGGAGAGTGTGGCCGAGGAGGCCGTTATGCTTGCCGATGTCGCCGACCAGGCCGGTCGGACGGCTTCCCTGCACCAAGCCTAATCAGTTGTCACTCGCACAGGAATCAGGAAAGGTGTGTAACCACCTACTACATATTGTACATGCATGCATACATACCTACAAATATAATATAAATATAAACATTATATATGTTTTGTATGTATGTGTATGTACTTACATGTATATTTATATTTATATGTTCCATACTGCTGTACAAGTGGACGGGAATGCTTCGCAAGACAATACAATACGATACAATAGTATAGTATTGAGGAATACAGTGTCTGCTCACGAGCTTGGACTATGTCTAGGTATGCAACCGTGGAATTCTGGTCGATTTCAACCCTTCCGGGCACTACGCACACAGCCTGAAGTGCTTGCGGGCAGGCTTGCAGGTCAATCAGATACTACATCCGCGAACTCTTGCCAAGTTCGGAATTTCATGTCATCGCCAGTCTCGTCGTGGGAACTCCATTCAAGAATCAGCGCCGGTCCATTGCCCAAGTCTCGCGTGTCTTGCTATTGCGGTTACGAATACATGAGTTCATTGAACAAGAACAAGTGCGGCAGAGGACTCGCAAGAAGTGGCGGCCGAGGAGCACGCTGAGGAGGACGAGGAAGAAGACTGGCAGGTTCTGCAGCATCCTGCAAGCACCAGCATGGGGGAGTCGGGCGTTTCTGGAGACTGAGTTATGCCGGCTCAAGCGCCCTGCATTCCCTGGTTGGGATTGCGTTGTAATCTGGAGTTGCGCCACCAAGGTCAATGCGAGAGGAGTTGGAGGAAGCTTGGGAGGAGCGGCTAAAGAAATACAGGCTTACGATCACGGGCAAAGAAGGTTCAAGACAACATGCGCAATGTGCTTGTGGACTGCTCAGCACAAGGGCCTTCTGTTTTAGCAGCTTGACTTTCATTCTTTGGGGACGATGACATGAAATGCCGAGAGACGCTGAGACGAGCACGGAGCAGGACGAACTGGAGCAGGAGGGCCTGGATGCGGATGACCACCCATTGCCATCGACTGCAAAGCTTCCAGGCTGCGAGTTTAGCTCTGAGGTGCGGGGGAAGGTGCCGGCCGAACTTCCCAGCTACTTCCTACTGCACGACGAACACTCACCGGTCTTAAGGTCTGGGAGGTTAACTAAACTTTGCTTAAGAATTCAGAAGATGCCCGGGCCAAGGGCGGCACCCACGTCCAGCTTCCAAGCCTGGGTAACTCGACCGCACGAATCAAACATCAGAGAAACGAGCTTCCTCTGCATTGAGGATTTCGGCAGCGCGAGGCGTAGATCTTGCTAGGCTAGGACAGCAATATCAGTTGTTGCGAGAGTGTCACGATTCGGAGATAGGTAGTCTGAAGAATCAGGGCGGGATGCAAGACGAGGAGGGCAGTACTCGAATAAGGCCATTTGGGGCAGGGAGAGTTGTGCCTAAGGTGCCGCGACTGCGCGTCAGCTCCAGCTCGTCGTGGGCCGATGCTACGGACGAAATTCAGGATTCCGATGTGGCGGAGGCGCTTTCGGGCCTTTTGCACGCTGAGTTGTGCCTTCAACGCTCAACGATTTAGGAAGATGAGGCTGATGCCATGCCCAGGACAGCCGAGATGCTCCCAAGGGCAACGACGATACATTTCTGGAAGAGGAAGGCCAAGCTGTCGAAACCGTGAGGGAGGCTACTGGAGAAGATGAGCCGTGCCTGGAGCACCCCCTGGAGCACCCGCTCGACGAAGAGGGTGTTGAAGAGGCCCCTCTCGACCTGCCGGATCGGCGCGGAACTTTCTCAGAGTCTCCTTCGGCAGACGAAGCACCCCAGTCTGCACCCGTGCCACAAAAGTCGCATTCAGAGCAGCTCAGTTGCATTCAGGTTGCCATGCGACACGCCTGAATCGCACTGTGTATGAACAATATGTCAGAGGTGAGCCCGTGCTTGTGTACTTGTCCATGTTTATTCAGACGAGGTACGGCTTCACCAGAAGCATCACCGACAAGGAGCCCTTCTCTTCCACTCCACATTGCATGAGCTTTGGAAGCCAACTTGCATCTCTTCATGTGTTCGACACTGTCATTGGCTATGATTTCGAGTTTCGAAGTAGATCTTGCATGCTAAAAGCTGGCTTCTGCTCTCGCACGTGTTTTTGAGACTTGCTTGCTTAGTGGCTTAGTGACGAATCTATTCCTTCCACAATCCAAGCCTCCTGGGGTTGCTGGGTCTGTTCATGGAAGAACAGACAACGATGTCTACCCCGGTAGTCGCAGAGGCAAATTTCCCCCCATCAAAAAATGACTTGGATGAGGACGAGGATGGCGGGCTCCGCCGAGGCTGGAGAGGTGCCACATGGCCAGGGTTGTGGTTGTGGTTGAGTTCCTAGGCCAGTCGATGCATATCTACTGATCTCCACAGACGGTTGCAACTTCACGGAGGGGGAGATATTCACATGGACAGTCAGAGTCGGAGTCGTTTTACAAAAAGGGGCTGGCGTCGGATGACTGACGGCTCCAAAGGGCATGCTGCCTGAATCATGTATGGCCCGTGGCGGCCCTTATTCGGAACACAAGGCAGAAGCATGCGAAGGGTTGACATCTCGACAGGTCGAAGCAAGCCGGAGATTCCCAGCGCAAGCCTCGAGGACTCGGGCTGGCAGCTGCGGCTGTATTGTAAACGTCTTGCAGTTTAGTTGCGGTTATAGGTCAAGGCTTCCGCACCTGGCACCCTGTGGCTCGTGTCGAAAGGATAGCCGACCAGAAGCAGCAGATGATAGCCGGCCTCTCAAATTTCAGGGCATGTAACACTTCGAGAGAGCGACTGCCACCAGACACATAATTGTGCTATACTGTAGCGACTTTCACAAGGCAGTGAGGACGAGACGATCCTTGCCACCCAGCTGCTGGCAGAAGCCGAGGCTACAGGGCGCGACACCTCGCAGCAGCTTGCAGTACTTGTCAACCAGTTTCTGGTAGGCTTCCGACGCAAATCCGGATCGGGCTCGCCACACCGCTCGCTGCGTGCTGTGCGGCATGGCCTACTCTCTGAATCTGGGCTGTGACACTGTGGTCTGGTCCGGTTGAAGAGAACATTGCAGGCTCAGGCATAGCTTCTGCGGGATAGTTGCTTCAGCCGGAACACTGCAGTGCAGCCGGCGATCTGCACACTGCAGAACACTTCAGAGCAAGCAACCGAGATGCAGTGGATATGAGCAGTGCACACGGTTGGCAGCTGATGTGCGGCACACAGCACATTCACGATGAGCCGTTGTGGCTGCAAGCCTGCTTGTCTACTTTAATATTATGACCATAACATAACACATGTGACTCGGCTAGCTCGTGCAACAACTGGCGGAATGAAGGTTGCGTACCAGAAGGTCAGGACATCATCGACGTTTCATTATCTCCTTGCTGCTCTCTAAAGGCCCTTTGCAGGTAAATACCAGAACTTGGCAGAACCAGTGATCAAGCGCTGTCGACCCTTCTTAGCACTGCTCGCCATGGCGGCCGTTCAAGGATTTGAGCATCGCAAGCGCACGTTTTTGGCTAAATGTGACAAGTCCAGTGCCGGCGAGATCGACGCAAAGGCGCGAGAGGTGTGTGCGGAGTTGAACCTCCGGCCGGCCTTTTTCACGACTTCGAGTTGTGCTGGCCGTGCCTTCATTTGGCGAGGAGATGGTGTAAAGAGCACTGAGTGCTTCAGTCGATGGAGGGTTACACATGACCTCGTGGAGGATGCGAACGCATATTTCGACTTGAGCACACTGGAGGAGCTCGGAAGCTCGTTGCCTGGCACCTCCGACGTGAGTGCGTGTGGCTGCTTTGCTGCTTTGTCCAAACTCTGGCGCACAGAGCCTCTTGGGCAAGGTCGCAGGCATCAGCAACCACAGCGAGCAGAGCTGGCAGAAGCGAAGCTGACTGAGGCTGAGGCCTGCTACTGGCTCCGTTTCGAACCCTTCATCCTCCATGTGTGCTGTCGTGATCTCGTAGCGGCCGCTGCTCTCATGGCTGCTGCCCGGACTGTCTTCAAGAATGTGGGATTACAGGGCTGGGGCGATTCCAAGGAGGCCAAGCTGATTGTCGCCATTTGGGGAGATGAGGGCCTAGACATGCCCCTCACAGGACCTACCGGTCTTCCCTTGTTCCGGGGGCAGCACGCATGGCTCCAAAGCTTGGTTAACAGCCGGCACCTGCGCAACTGGCAGAAAATTGATCGCTTCACGGAAGCACTTCGACAGATGCAGGAGCAGTAGTAGCTGGTTCCTGCAAGCTGCAGGGCCCGGACCCATCATTAAAGCTGAAGCCGCATGTCTAAGCCCTAGAACCCTGCAATGCGGGCTCGTCCTAGCTAGGTGGGAGGCAGTTCTAAGCCTTAGCCCGGTACCATAAAATATGGACCTGGACATTCATCCGAATTGTGCGGCCCGTCGTCCCTGCGAGGATCCCCCGCCATCCGCAGAGCTTTGTATCCCCGAAACCTCCGAGGAAAAGGATACCGGAATACTTTTAGTTGGGCGTATGTTGTTTCTAACACCTTGAGAAGAGATTGAGTGACGTGTCGCACCGATGGTTCTGCCGGGATCTCAAGAGAGTTCTTGGTTTGACCCTCTCTGGGGGGCGGCGTTGCAGGAGACCAAGCATTTCGACGTGGTGGGTGATATTGCCGTGGTGAGCCTCGGAGCGCACATTGAATGAAGGGCCCTTCAGCGGCTTTCGGGTTGAAAGACTTGGAGCGGCTCAAATCGCTGCCTGATCCCAGGAATGTGAAGCCGAAAGATGAGGATGTCGCGACGATGGGTGCAGCTATTCTAAAGCAGGCCTCTCGTGTGCACTTTGGAACTTTGGATCGGGATGGATTTTCGCGTGACGAGCTTTGTCATGGGGCTATTTCTGCGGAAGTCTAGACGCCAGCCTGGCAGTTTGCCAGGACCGTCGGGTAAAGGTTGTGGCGCTCAAGCGGAGCTACGCCACGGAGCTGCGAGCCCCGTCTCAGGCAAGACTTTGGCGGGGCTGGTACAGTAGCGGCGGCAGTCAGTAGTCGCAGTCGTAGCTGGGGCACTTTGACGCAGAATCAGAAAGTCTTGCAGGAGCAGGAAATAGTGGCAGAAGTGTTAGAATCCTGCCAATTCTCAGAAGGCCATGGATGTCATTGCCGGGCGGTCAAGATCTCCTCTGATGTGGCTTGTCTGAATGGTTCGCGAGACTGTGCACCTGGTGAACGTGATACTTGCAAGTTGAGAGTCTAAGTCGCCTCTGATGTGAGCTGCGTCGGCGGTGCTTCGTCAGGACGACTCATATGGAGTTTGGTGTTCGGATGGTCATTGACTTGGACGCCTGCTTTTTCTCTCCCCGGCTGGCCGGCGAGCGACAACGACTCTGCCAAGCAGTGCAACCAGACGAACGAGTTCTGGTGGCTTTTGCCGGCTGCGGCCCCGAGGTTCTCCAGCTTCTTTCGCACACAGAAGCCAAAGAAGTTGTGGCTGTGGAGCTGAATGCAGCCGCTGTGCGATGCCTCCGGCGTAGCCTGGAGATGATGCAGTTTTCCAGCTCAGATGGCACAGACTACGGCCGTGTGTCTGTCTTCGAAGGTGACTTGCGAGATCTCGCACGTACACTGCCGCAGCAGCACTATCACAGAATCTTGGCGCCCAGGCCCAAGAATCCTGGAGATGGTGATGTTGATTTGGGAGACGGAGGAGCAGGATTCCTCGATGTTCTCCTGCCTTTGCTGCAAGACAAGGGTGTATGCCACTGGTACGATTTTGCAGCGGACTGGGAGCTGCCAAATTGCGATCGCACCACGAAAACGCTTCAGGATGCTTGTCATCGCCACCATCGGACCTGTCAAGTTGAACGTGTGGCTGCCGCAAACCGCCGGACCATCGCTGAGCGGCAATATCGGGTTGTGGCAGACTTCCGGGTGACCGGATGCCTCTCGAACGGACGCTGACTCGAGTGGAGAACAAAGGAGCAGTTAGATCTTAGAAGCAGAGCCTGCATCATGCTTGGTAAGGAACAGCACCTCGCACCCGCAGAACCCACCTGGCAAATCTTCAAAGACACCTGCGGTTGGCGGTTGTGGACTAGGTCCCAGGCGCTACTAGGCTCTAGGCTGGTTTGGGCATTCGCCCTGGGCACCTTCAAATTGTTGGGTTATCGGATACAAGCAGCAACGGCAAAGAACAGTACTGTATGGCTTTGTCGCTGTGCTTTCTATGTCTGTTTCTGCAAGCACTGAGGAATGTGGATGTTCGCAACTGGGCTGCACTCCATGTTTGTCAGAAAGACTGCAAGAACTACGTGGTGGAATATGCACGCGGTAAGCATCGGTTGTACCTATGGCAATCGCAGGCCTCAAGCGCCTTCCAAGTGGAGTCAGTGCAGCAAGAAGCCCTCAATACCGTTCGCAGAGATCGCGGCCCTAGGCGAACTCGGTGACGACTTCTGCTGCGAAGCTCTTGGGAGACGCTGTGGCCAGGAGGACGAGGCAGCAGAATTTGTTGTAGAGGGTCCTGTTTAAGCTCCACATTTCGCACTGTGGTTGCTTAGTTGCGATTTGTCTACTCGCCGAGACTGCGTCCAAACCGGGTGATAGCCAAAATGAGTCACATTCGCAGCACAGCGCAAGGGGGGGGGGTCGGGGCGCACTGCTTCCAGAGAGTCTTGTTTGAGGCAGCTGTGCGAGTCGAGGGTCACCGATGCAAGTCTTGAAAAGGATGAGGAGGAGAACAACTTGGATGAGGCAGACGAGGACATTGCTGGCGAGGAGGAAGCAGAGGAAGAGACAGAGGAGGCGTTTGCAGAGACATGGAACAGAGATTTCTTGTTTCGCATGACACCCCAGTGTCTTCGCACCAACAACTTTCAACTGCAGAATGCACTGCAGGAAGTCTTCGTTGCTGTTTGCGAAGCATGCGGCGTTCAGATCCCAGTTCGGATGGTAGATACGGGTTTGTTGCTGCAAGCATTTCTGGCAGCGCGGCATGCAAGTTGCAGGCGTGTAAACCCGTCATGGACATGTGATTGAGGTGCCATGCGGCGACGCATCACACAATTGTGATGAAGGGAGTTTGACGTTCCTTTCGTTCCTTCGCTATTAAGGCTACGCACATCACGAAAATCGACTTCATCGGCTTGGGCCTGGACTTCAACTGCAGCATGATGGGCATTCCGCCGGGCACTGAGGAAGTCGGCATGCGGCTGTAATCCTGAAAATTTTGCTTGAGATTGATGTGGCTCAAGCATGCTCAAGCCGGCGAAGCTTCCAGACCCCTCGCGACACATGTTCAAGTTTCTATCGAGGACTGTCCAAGGTGGTCCAAGGCGAGCCACGCCCACGAATCTTTCATTTGTCAACATGCCAGGGCAAAAACCGAGCCTCGACCAACAAACGGCGTGCCCCCGCATGGGGGGGCGCATGGGCACGCGCTGACCCCTCCCCAGGTCGCGGGTGAGGAGCTGCAATCCTCCTCTGCCGAGAGCAGCAATCCTTCTAACATGCCAGCGGGATGCACTGCCTGCGCTACCTCGCGGGGTTCCTGTTTTTCTTGGGGAGGTTTGCGAGTGGCGAGAGCGAGCCACATGGCAAACATTGGCAGAGTTGAGACTTGAGAACAGGCCACCCCCACAGGCCTGAAGAGCTTTTCTTGCATTCAGGCAGGAGTGCAGACTAGAGGTACCGTATGTGCCTTGGTGACGGCCTCGAAGGGCTTTCAAAGGATTTCCCGCAATTACCGGGCACAGCTCCAAGAGCCCCACAAGCAGATCTGCGCTCTGCAACCGGGATGCTCCCTTACCTTCCGTGCCACCAAAAGTTCTCAATGGCAAAACTGCTGGTGGTACTCAAGTACAGCTTTCCCCCGCGACCGCGTCGCGCTTTGCAGCATTTCTGACCCCAGTCGGCCCAAGAAGGTCCTGCGAGGAGGTGCCGACGCCCTAGCCCTAACCATCCCCAGGCCCAGGCCCAAGAAGGTCCAAGAAATCCTGGGGTGACCTGAAGCATCTTGAAGCAAAGGAGGATATCCGCAACAGACAACAAGAAGCGTGGAAGGGCCACATGACCGTCCATGCCACGCTGCTGTGTGGTGAGAAAAGAGCCAGGAATGTCATGTTCGGGTAAGTCTGGACGACCTTGCTTCAGTGGGTGTGCTTATGCTTGGTTGTTGTCTCCGCTGGACGTGACGTCGAGCGGATGGAGGGAGGTAGTGGCACAGAGACTTTGAGGACCTGCTACTGTCACGCACCAAGGTGCGAAGGTGAAGAGATCACCATTCCCAATGCTTCTGCAAGCTCCAGTTCTGGGCCGGTTCTCCCCCCACGATGCTGGCAGAAAACTTAATGCCGTAGGCTTTCGCAGTCGGCTTCAAGGTTGTTTCCGAAGGTTTCCATGAGAACCTGCGCTGCAGTGCTCGCGTCAGCAAATAACTGGATACTGCAGTTGGCCTGTGCCTGGGGACCTAGTGCAGGGTTGGGAACATTATGAGAGTGCGTGCTTCGCTTGCTTGGCCCCGGGGCAGTGGAAAGGACACTGTAGTGAGGAGCAGTGTGGAACTCCATGAACAAATAACACAGTCCAGCGCTTTACAGTCTTCTTGCAGAGTCTTTCGCCAATTTTCGCCATCTCAGGATCACAACTTCATCAGCTCTCCGACGAAGAGAAAAGGGACTTGTTTGCCAGGTCCCATGGCTCACAAGACTTGCGATGACGAAGGGCTCAGTCAGGCATCCCTTGTCTTCGACTTTGAGTCCGGTACTGAGTACCTAAACAGGTACCGAGCTAAGATAAACAGAGCAGTGCCTATAACGCTTGTGGAAGCCAGAAGCTACTGGCAGTACGCCTGATCGCCCCAATGTCGCCTATACTATACTTGTGAGATCTTGTGAGCCACGGGCAGGTATGCGGTGCAGAGGCAGGAGGAAAAGATGTCCAAGCCCTTCGGCTGCTAGGAGGTGAGGCTAATCGAGAGGCACACTGTCCCTTGCTTGTGCTGAAGAAGAGTGAGTGCCGCTGGGAGATTTGTTCAATCGGTGTCTCCTGAAAGCCCACTGGGCCCGCACTAGTGCAGGGTCGGTTGGCCTCTTCCAGCCTGATGAAGACAGAAAGTTTTGGCTAGGAAGGGTTGTGCTGGCTGGATCGCTGCAACCTTTCAGCAAGACTCCTCCATTGCTAAGGAAGGAGGGAGTCTGAAGCAAGGTTTTGGCATAGCTGCCCTTCCCATGAGCAGGGTGTG